ATCTTGTCGGCATTAAATAACCCATTGAGTTAAAACAAACCAAACCATATACCCTATTTCCGGATTTGTTGGTACTTGGTATCGAAAAAAACATCCACTCCTTTACTCTTCCATTCCCCTTTGATCAAAGTGGATACTGCTTAAAAAATTTCAAATAAACTGTTCACTGGTCATAAAGCAGAAACACTTGAGAATCAGATAAAATCACATCTTCCTCCTAAATCGATATCTGTAATGTCACAATATACATCCCTCTTTCAAATCACATGAATTTTATAAGTGTGTCCTGATAGAACTAGAAGCCCGACAAGGATTTGTTATTTGCAAACACAATCTTAACAATATAGGATATGCAGATTACACAGTTTTGAGAGTAGATAGAGAAAGGAAATCCTATGGAAGTTATTAAAAAAAGTGTGAAGAAAAGACTAAACATCAATTGTAAGAAATGTTATTTGTGTGTTGTAAAGAAAGTTTGTGATTTTGAAAAGTGAAGCTGGACACCAAAGAGCAGGTTGATAAAATTAATTATTAGTTCCACAGCAACCCAGGTTTGTCAGTGTTGGGTTTTTCATTAACTGGTAAAAGAATAGGACACATGAAAATATTTACATAAACAGTGGGTGAAGATATAGGAAAGAACCCCAAAATGAGGAAATGACTAAAACAAATCAATGTATAGTAGTAATATCACATCTCTGAAACTGTCAGAAATTCAGACAGAAAGAAAACTGGAGCATACAGCAGACGGAATGTGATAAAGACAGCATTTCATGTTTGAAATTGTCAGAATTGTCAGAAATTCAAACAGAAAGAAAATTGGAGCGTACAGCAGACGGAATGTGATAAAGACAGCATTTCATGTTTGAAATTGTCAGAATTGTCAGAAATTCAGACAGAAAGAAAACTGGAGCGTACAGCAGACAGAATGTGATAAAGACAGCATTTCATGTTTGAAATTGTCAGAATTGTCAGAAATTCAAACAGAAAGAAAACTGGAGCGTACAGCAGACGGAATGTGATAAAGACAGCATTTCATGTTTGAAATTGTCAGAATTGTCAGAAATTCAAATAGAAAGAAAATTGGAGCGTACAGCAGACGGAATGTGATAAACACAGCAAATATGAGGAAATTGATATGAATGAATCAGTGTATAATAGTAACAACATTTCATCTCTGAAACTTAGTTTTAAAGAAGGCCAGAAGGTATAGCACATGGAATGTGATTTGGTAAAGGAAATATATCAGCAATAATGCTTAAATTGATAAAAAATAGAATCAATACATTGTGAATTATTAAAGATGTTGATTTGGATTTGAAAGCACCTCTGCATATTGCAAAATGAAAATGTCTCATTTCTTACATGCAATGACATTGTTTTAGCATGTTTGAAAATGGCACTGATAATATGTAACCAAATTTGTTCACTGTTCATTGAAGGTTCCCATCAAATTTAATTTTGTTTGAGCAGTTTCCATATTTTCACAGATCTTTTTAGAGTATCAGCAAAACTTTTTAATCTTTCATATTGGGTTCTAAAGAAATATTTACCTTTTTATTTTTTACTTTTATTTATATCTTACATATATTTTTTATATATTTTTTTATTTTTAGCATAACCAAATCACCATGCATGATGAATGGTCCACATTTCTTGAATGAATCCTAAGAAAAAAAAGTCCTAGTCTGATGCCAATTATTATCATTTTATCACTAGATTCATTCTACTCTATTTACACTATTCGAACTCTTTAAGGACTCATGGCACAGTGGATAAAGGCGTTTGTTAGATCCAGTGACAGGACCCAGAGAGTTGTGAGTTCAATACCTGGTTAAGGCAGTGGAGAATTTGGAGATGGGAATTAACTGGAGATTGATAACTGACATCCATTAGACATGGCACATGGAACTAGAACAGTCTACCTCAGAAAGCGAAATAAAGGGTTCAATTCGACATTCCAACCACCTGAAGAAAGCCAGAGCATACATCGGCCGAAATGTTATGATAAATATGGCAATAAAGATGAGGACAATAGTTCAAATAATGTAAATAGTGTACATAATACCTCATCTCAGAAATATAGACAGATTCACTCTAATTTACATGCAATCATTCTGGTTATGATGATAAACTACATCCAGCAGCGATACTTCTGATCGGGAGACTGTAGGTTTTGAGGAGTGTGGAACCACCTCTTAATTGCTGTCATTCCCTAGTCCACACCGACCCTGGGTGGTAGCACTTGTTAGGGTCCCAGCTATGGGCAAATACTTGATCCCCAAACTAGGGTCAAACAGTATGAAAGAATAAAAATACATTTTTATAGTGAAGATACCAGCAATAAATTGCTGCAAAAGAAAATCACAAATACTCCTAAGAACCATTGTTTTGTTTACATTTCATCATGTGATCTCTTGTGAATACTGATTCTTCTTCTTCTCTTCCTATATCTAAAAAGCTACAAACAGCCTGGTGTACTAATGGCCATTTACTTCACCATCAATCACAAAATACTGCTAATAATAGTACATTCCATTGCTGTGAATGCAATCATAACTTGATATTTACATTTTCTCAGCTGAGTTTGCATGGATACAAGTTGATTTTCTTCAAATAGGCAATGAAGTTATTCCAGTAATATATAGTGTAGAAATGGTTTTGTTATTTTTATTATCAGTTTTTTTGATAATATCAATTCATATATATTCATCACACCAAGGCTGAGGTTAGCCTACCAACAAACATCATTCAGAATTTAAAGTTCCTTTTTTAGAATTGTAATTGTAGTATAAGATGACCCCAATTTTTAGAGATAATTTTGGTGATTTAAAGGTTGTCTTACATGCAGTAATTGTACTAAGGATTTTAAATTTTGAAAGATCTTGTGTGTCCCCTCAGGACATAGTCAATCATGGCTCTCCACAACTTCATGTACTTTGTAGCTCTTAATAAACTTTGTCTTTCTGTTATTTCTCCTGTTTTCCTCTTGCCCTCTGTCTGTCCTATGAGTATCAAATTTTCCACATTTTTCTCATGTATCCCAAAAACCTTAACCGTCTCTTCCTGATGTTAAATATAAGTGTCCTTTTTGTTCTCAAATTCATTATTGCTCACATATTTGGTCTATGGTAACCTCATTCTGTAGAACCACATTTTCCTTTTTGTTTCAATTTTCTCTAAAACTTTAAAGACTGTTTGAAAGATGACCACAAAAGGATAAAAATGATGGCATTCATGAAAGACAGTGATAGATTCAACAATTATTGAAATAATACTAATTATGAAGAGTGCATCAACCCAGTTTGTTAGGATAAAAAGCAACAATACTACACATCTGTTTATCTTGTAAGATAATTATAATACCCTGTTTGGACAAAATTCAGTCCTTTTGTGATCAGCATCTGAAGTGGCTTAGCAGTCAGCATGAAGTGGTTTAGCAGTTAGCATGGCAATTTTTTCTGCAAATATGTCAGTTTTTTCTGCTAGTATGACAGGCGAAGCTGAATGTGGAAGGAAAATTTGATTGCTATCTCTCTGCATGACTTCTTTTTGAGCAAAATAACACCAATTACTGCAGTCCTCTGCTAACTGTTCTCAGCTACCTGGGTGGATGTCCATTAGTTTCAGGTCCCTCTTTCAGACGTCTTTGAAATGTAGTGTAGGGCAGCCTGCCAGGTAGTGTCCATAGGCCCATAGATTGATGTCTTTGCATATACAATTGTCATTCATTCAGTGCTATTAAAGATGATGTTGACAGAGGAGGAGATGCAAGCACCAGGAGACTGCTTGCTCCAGCACAAGAATTTTGATAACTCTACATGTGATGCTGAAGATATGTTGTTGGCAGCAGAGATGGAAACTTTGTAGGTAGTTTTTCTGTCTCGCATATGTCATCCCAGTTTCACTGGCATAAAGCAGAATACTAAGGACACATACCTGAACTATTTTTAGTTTGGCGTACAAGTTCAGCCTTTGTCTCAATTTCCAGGTCAAGTGATACATTATTGATGATGGTAGAGTCCAGGTACGTAAAGTAATCTATAACTTCAAGTATCATGTTGTCCTAACACATGACATTTATTTTCTTGATGTTAATAGTCAACCTGAATTCTTTACAGTTGATTCCCTTAATTAGTTGGAGATTGCATTTGTTGTCTGCAAAAAGCATTTCTTTGATAAGGACTGTGTGCATATCTTGGTTTTTGCCCTCAGGCAGGCCAAGTTGAACAATCTTCCATTGCTTCTTGTGTATAAGTATACACCTTTGAGCAGTCTGAATGCTAGGATTGGCAACATAGAAAAAATGATATCAAACAAAGTCAGTGCAAAAACACATCCTTGCTGTTCTGAATTGTGAAGGTCACTGAAACTTTGTCATCATACCTGACTACAACCTATATATTCTCATGAAAGATGATGATGCTCAGCAATTGTCAGGGACAACTAATTTTCTTTAACAACAACAAAAATAATAATAATAATACAGCATAAAACTAGTATTAAGATAACTGCAATAATGACTTTATTAATTCAGTGTGTTGTGATAAAAAAGCAACAATAATAAGATGAAGTAAAACTTATAATGATATTAATGAAAATGCTTCATGCATAAATTTTAAAAGACATTTAGATGTTGTTTTTTTGTTTTTTTTTATTGCTGTTTTTGTTTCTGAGTAGAGAGTTTAAACATTTTATCAGGTCCATTTTTTTTTTTTTTTTTTTTTTTTGTGCTTCTGGAGTAATACCAACCTGTGGTTTTGAAGCATCAGTTAAGAAATGAAAGCAGACTTCTTTTTCTCTTTCTCTGTCTCTTTCTCTGTCTTTTTCTCTTATTGTGTCTTTCTTTCTCTCTCACTTTCTTTTTCTTTCTTTTCATTCATTTATTTCTTTCTTTTCATTCATTTCTTTTTTTAATCTTGAACTACTTTTATTTATTTATTTTCACAACTGGATTATTTGATAAAGATGAAAATGAAAGATGTCTTTTCTCTTTTCAGGTTATGCTATTGACCCTAGTGCTGATCATGCAGGAACAATGAACAGTGTTATTGGAAACGTCTCAAAAGCTGAAGAAAACCAAAGTAAGTCTACTCCTTACTAATTTTTTATTAGCATTTATTTCATTGTAATGTTTGTTTCTTCCTATTGCAACTTCCAGATTGTCATTCTCAAACCCTTACTAAGTAATGTGGATCAAAATAAAGGCTTACAGCCACATCGCATTGAAATACTGGTTCACATATGATCACCAAAGTTAAGCAACATCAAGCTTACTCAGTACTTAGATGCAGGATTGTTTGTCAATACCAGGTGCTATAAGCTTGGAAGTGCAAGTGGTATAATTGATAATGGCTTAGAATTCTTAATTGGAAAGCTGAGTTTCAATTCTGTTTGGGTTCGTTATATTCACTTATGTGTATATACCTTTGGGAAATGTAGGAATCCAGCTATAGGTTAATTAGTAAAGACTTGGATCACTAAAACATCATCTTGAAAAAAATAATTCTTACAATCTAAAAATATTTTCTGGCTTTAAATAACCTGCAAATGGTTGATAAACCATAGAAGCAATCAACCAATCAAAGTATAAACTTGAACACTTTAGGAACCAGTCTTTCTTTAACAACAAGCTGTATTACTGACTACGCTTTCTTGATTATAAGTGAAATTTTTTGGTGTTTGTTGGAGACATTAGTGGATGAATGAAACTTTATGGTTGGACCCTATCAGCACCCCTCCCGATACACACACATATACCTATAGGAACCATCAGAGGACTAATCATAGTAGACTTGGATTTCAGGTCATGGTGCCAGCCCGCTTGTTGAAGAACACTTCTACATTGGTTGGCCATTTCTTTGTTTTTTTTTTTTTTGTTTCTTTTTTCATTCTTTCCTATTCTCAATTTTGTTTCTCTGGAAGGATGTGGGGACGGTGCAATAGACATCCATCTTTCAACTAACTCACCAGTCACCAAAAATATCAAAACCAGTTCTATGTCAGATTCGTTAGATGCATATATTGAACAAGGAAACAATATTACAATCCAGTTGTAATCAAATTTGTCAATTATTAATTTTTCACTCGTATTTCTTTCATCTTATTTCTCTTGCTTTTTATTAAAATAGTTACATTGGATTTGATATTTGACTTAGAAGCATTATCAATTATTATTAATTTTTCAATATTTTTATTTCTTTTGCTTTTTATTATGCTAGTAGTATTAGATGTAATAGTATTGATATTTCTGAAATGAAGCAGTGTTAAGTATTATTAATTTGTGACTCCTAAATTCTATCCTAATTTCCTCTGCTTCCCATCAACTCTTTCAGATTGTCATTTTGCAATCATTAGTTAGCAATATGGACCAGAAGAAAAAATCAGCCTGCAGTATGACTCAAACTCTCATCCTTTATCTTTTGGAACTTGTTTTTTTTTTTTTTTTTTTTTTTTTTTTTTTTTTTTTTGCTTTTGATTACTTCCTTACTAATAAGTTATTCTAACTAGGATCTTTATCCGTCTTGTTTTGATCACTGTTGGCCTAAACAGTGTACTCTTCAGCTTTTATAGTGCATGATGTTCTGAGATTAAATATAATTAATACTATTCATAGAAATTTGTTTTCCTATTTAAATGTTCTTATGAATCTTAAGTCAATAATTATATAAGCTCCTTGCAAGTTCCACAACTTTAAAATACACATGGAGATTCTCCTATTGCCTCATTAAATTTTTAAGCTTATCAACTTATTACAGGGTGTTCCAAAAGTCAATTGACAATTGGTAGAAAATGTACACTTGTGAAATAGCAACCAGGGAAAATTTGCATGACACTATCTTCCATAATTCAACCAATAAAATTTCTTAATAATATAGTCACATACAGAAACATGATTCCATTTTTTGTAAATAAATATAAAATTTACAAGGATATCAATGGTAATGTGACTTTTGGAATGCCCTGTACAATAACAACAATAAATATAAATGCAGGTGATTATTTAAAGAAGTAAGAGGATACAAATGAAAACATTTAAAACTGACAAGGTTTTCTATTTCACTGAGGCAGACATTAAATCCATGAGTGTTACCACCTCCTTCATCTACCCTTTCTTTAATTCATTCTTTTCTTCTTCTTTTATCTGTTTTTTTTTCTTTCCCTGCAAACCAAACAGTAAATCTGATGTATCTATTTCCTCTTTCTATCTTTGCTATCAAACAGAAATGACTCATTGTTTATCTAATGGCAGGGCATAACATACATACTTAGAAATGAAGGAAAAACCAAAATTATAATGAAATAAAGAGTTTGATTCAAAACAATGTAAATAGTGTAAATTGTTACAATACCTCATATCAGAAATATAGACAGATAAGGGTTTGTTTTTATATATATATATATATATATATATATATATCTCCCACACAGGTAAAAATATAGGAAAAAAGAAGTTGAAAATGCAACTGGAGTCTTTGGTATATTAATTTAGACTAACTTTACCAGTGTCACAGTTCTATAATTTTCAAAATTTTTTGGAGACAAACTGTATTTCTTTCTGGATATCTCAGTATCAGTTATTTCCCTTTAGTAACTCAGCTCTCAAAGTTTTTGTCCACTGCTGCTGTGGCCTGATATTGAACTCGGAACTCTTTGAGTCAAGTCACTGGATTACTTTTATCCACTGGGCCATGTTTCCTTGGTTTCCTTGGGTCAGAAAAGGTATAGAACTAGAACAATCTACTCTGGTAAATGAAATAAAGGGTTTGATTCAAAATTCCAATGTATATCACTTGAAGAAGGCTGGTGCATGCAATAACTGAAATGTTATGAATATGACAATAAAGATGAGGGCAACTGTCCAAACAATGTAAGTAGTGTAAATTGTTACAATACCTCATATCAGAAATATAGACAGATAAGGGTTTGTTTTGGGTTTTTTTGTTTATATATATATATATATATATATATATATATCCCACACAGGTAAAAATATAGGAAAAAGAAGTTGAAAATGCAACTGGAGTCTTTGGTATATTAATTTAGACTAAGTTTACCAGCGTCACAGTTTTCAACATTTTTTGGAGACAAACTGTATTTTGCTGTTCATTCCAGCATTCTTGCCAGAAGCTATTTGAGCAGCATTAAAGAACTATAGATTCATCCTAAGGCCAAAAAAAAAAAATGTTAGAGTTCTCAGAAATGATCAGTTCTGTGATGATAAATATTAAATGTTCCATGATCTTCATAAATATAATGAGAAAGAAGTTACTTGTGCTAGGTGAGTGAGTGGAAAGGACTAAAATTTATTACTGAACTTTGTTGTTTTCATTTGATCGTTGTTGTGTTTTGGGGGAGGTGCGTTAAGTTATTTTCTACCATCTCTCTTGTTTTTCTCCAGTTATGATGAACAGTTAGACTCTCAATGTAGTTCTATGCTTTGAATGTCTGCTAGGTCTCAGGTCCACTCCCGATCTCAAGTGGAAAAATAATGCTTTTTTGATTGATTCATTCATTCATTTTCTATGTTTTATTAATCTTTTGCAGGTTATTTAAAGCCAGAAAATATTTTTAGATTGTAAGAATTTTTTTTTTTTTTTTTTTAGATAATAATGGTTTAGAGATACAAGTCTTACTAATTAACCCAGAGCTGGTGGGAAGAAGTGAATTCATGCCTAATCAGAATTTGATAAGCAAAATTATAGTGTGTATATAAAGTGGGGATTCAATTCTATATTACAATCAATATATAAACTGATCCCTCAATTTGTGACAATGGTAGTTTCTGTGCATTTATATTCCAGAGAATGTAACTATATCTAAAAGCCATGTGTAGCTAATCAGTATTTCATCAATTCGTATTCTACAGCTTATCAACCCTTTGCAGCTTATTTAAAGTTGTAAATGTTTTCTCTTCTCATTGGTACATTTGATTACACTGGTCATATTTCTAGTTTCTTGCTATCCTATCGATTATCTTTGTGTTTCAAGTCTTTAACAGCTTGACACACATTTGCACAATGATTGCATTTTATTGAAACTGTCTACATTTATACCTGTCATTTCCTGTTACTTTGTAGCAAGTAATGTTTACGAGGCAACAACTCTTTAAACAGAAATGTGAATCTTTAATATTGAATACCCCGTCTTAATAGGTACATGGTTACATTATTTTTGTTCTAAATTGTTTTGATTGATTCATTCATTTATTATGGATTATCAACCTTTTTCAAGTTACCTTTTGTTTTTGTTGTGTTTTGTGTTTTTTTTATTTTGTTTTTTGTTTGTTTTGTTTTTTTGTTTGTTTTGTGTTTAGTCTTATTTTGTGTTTAGTCTTGTTTTGTGTTTTGTTTTTTGTCTTGCTTTGTGTTTTTTGTTTTGTTTAGTGCCACTAGTACGCAAGAGGTTGCAGAAGGTAGAGAAACGAGTAAAAAGGCGTGTTTGGGGAGAGGATAAAGAGAAGCACAGGGAACAATATCAATGTATCAGAAGATGTCAATTGCCATTACACTTGAATATTTGAAGGTTATAGTTATCAGGGAACCAAGTAAGAGAAAGAGAATTCTACAGACAGGAAGTGAGAGAGGAGAAGCTGTTTGAGTAGAAGAAACGGTTACATTTAACCATTTCAACAGTGAAAGAGTGTGACCAAGATGCCAACCTAATAGCTTGCTTAAATTCATGGAGTCTGGGAACCAGTGAAAGAAACTCATCAGAACAGTTGCCATGAAAATACTTATAGAAGAGACAGGGAAGCCATGACACATCTGTAAGAAAGTGACTGTAGACAAGATGTCAGACCAGGACCTATCACATTGCATATCCGTCTCTGGATTTTGTCAAGGACCTCAAGACTTACAGCAGGTACATCAGACCATACATAACAGCAATATTCTATGCAAAGATGGATGGTTGATATATAGTTTTGAAGGATAAACTTAAATGAGAAAAACTTTCTGGAAAGACACAAGTCAGAAAATATTTTTAGATTGTAAGAATTTTTTAGAGATAATGATTTACTGATACAAGTCCTACTAATTAACCCATAGTTGGAGGGAGAAAAGGTGTATTCATACCTTTCCCA